CCAGGATATGCTCCCAGTCCCCAGGATGCAGTCCCAGTCCCCAGGATATGGTCCCAGTCCCCAGGATATGCTCCCAGTCCCCAGGATATGGTCCCAGTCCCCAGGATATGGTCCCAGTCCCCAGGATGCAGTCCCAGTCCCCAGGATGCAGTCCCAGTTCCCAAGGCACAGATGGAGACCCTGGACAAGGGCCTGGAGGGGCAGGACAAGGGGGAACAGCTTCCCCCTGCCAGAGGGACACTGGGAAGGAATCCTTCCCTGGGAGGGAGGCCCTGGGATGGCTTTCCCAGAGCAGCTGTGGCTGCCCCATCCCTGGCAGTGCCCAAGGCCAGGCTGGAACAATCCAGGCTGGTGGAAGGCAGTGGGTTGGAACTCCATTACCCTCAAGGTTCTTCCCAACCCAAGCCATGCCAGGATTCTCCAAGGCTGAAGAGAACACACCGTGGGCAGGGATTCCTTCGACAGCAGAACTTTATTGCCCACAGACAACGCAAACAGTTTCCACACCTGCTGCACTTTCAGCAAGTCTCCTACTTAACAAGGTTCACACACACAAAAGAAAAAAAACTCCAAAAAACCTCTTTATTTCAGAAGGACCCCGTTGTTCTTTGAGCGTGTTCTCTCTGCAGGTGTTTATTATTGCTCAAATCTACAGTCTGGTTGTGATTGGCCACTCAGTCACGAGATATGCACAGCTCCAGGTGATGCAGGACTCCCAGGTATTAATCTTTTAATTAAAAAACAGACCTGCTGTAGGGTAGAAAACAACCCAAAAGGAGAATACTTTGAATTTCCGAGTCCAGACTTTTCTTTGGGCACAAAAGGACTTTCGAGCAGAGCGGGATGCCAACATTAAAAATAAACAATGTGCACTGATTTGGGAGAAAACGCCATCTGAGAGAACATGAGGTGTTCACACCAAGGATGGTTCTTTAAAAAAAAAAACCACAAACCCAAAAAGTAAATAGGAAAAATGTCACTGGGTCACACCAAGGAAAAGCTCTGAAGGCAAAAAAAATAACACCATCTCCACGAGTCCAACACAATTAGTCCAAACACTGAATCGCTGACTGTAGTTTTTTAGGGCACCTCCCCCCAAAATGGGGATCTCCTCATTTCTCTCCAACGAGAGCAAATGGCCTTCCTTCTAGACCAGGTCCTCAATTATCCTAAATTTTTGAAGGAAAAGGAGGGAAAAAGGTGTAGCCAGGGCTTGAACTCGCCCAGGGACTGTCCCTGCACCCTGGGGACAAGTGGCTGCATGAGGGTTAAAAATTGCAGTTCTCTGCAGTTTCCCCCTCCCCTCCTGCCTTAAAAAAAGTAAAAATAAACAAACAAAAAAAGA